CATCATCCCTACCATCATCGTCTGCCTGCCCCTGGTAGGGCTTACCAATTCCCTCATTGCGTTATCTCCCTCCCTACCTGCTTTGAAGAAAAACCTCGTGCACCTCTCCCCTTCCTCCGTTGTCCTGACCCTTGCCCTGTACACTAACTGCCTAGCCCTTCTTTCCAATACTGAGGCTATCCTCCCTTTCAACTCCTCTATCCTTTCCCCCATCGGGAAACCCATCTCTAGCAGCCTGTACATTTTCTACAGCCTGGCGTTCCACTGCCTCAACTCCCTACCCACTCCCCTCCTCCTACTATGGTGCTGGAAGAGCGTTTTCACCCTGCCCTTTATCTGGCCCCACCATTCCACCCTCGTGGGGAACCAGTCCTGCAAGGTCCTCCAGCTTTTGTATTTTTGTACGAAGTCCCCCACCACTTTCTGGTCCTCCAACAGACCCACGTTCATTTTCCATACCCCTTTCCCTCTCCTCGCCCCACCTGGGATTGCGAGCCCTGCCACGACCATTTTATGGTCCGAGAGGGGGAATGGCTCCAACCCCACACTTTCCACTTCTACTTTGGCAGAAGCGAAGATAAAATCTATCCGCGACTGTGTTCCCCCACTTTTGTCCGACCACGTATACCCGGGCCTTGCACCATGCACCCTCCTGAAAGCGTCTACCATGCCAAGGTCCTCCATCAGCTCTCTCAGTTTTCTGGAGGAAGAGTCCAATTTCCTCCTCCCCTTTGCCGACACCAGGTCCGTCAAGTATAGCGGGCAGTTGAAATCACCCCCTACGATGACTTGTCGCCTGGTAGCCAGTAGGGTCGCCAAGCTCTCCCACACCTCTACCCTTTCCATGCATCGTACCGGGGCATACACGTTCACCAACTGCAACTCCACGCCTTGGTAGGACACGTCCACACAAAGGAGCCGGCCCGGGATCACCTCCTGGGTCCCTTCCACCCTCATTTCTCTCCTGCCTAGGAGGGTAACTACCCCAGTACACCGGTTCCCATTGCTACCCGACCATAAGCAGTGTCCGTCCCAATCTTCCAGCAGGTCTTCCGAACCCAGGGTGTACGGTAGGTGGCACTCTTGAAGGAAAGTCACGTCTCTTCTGGTGGCCTCTAACAGTTGCATGATTGCCCCTCTCCTTCCCTTCCCCTTAATTCCTCTCACGTTTATGGACGCCACCGAGAGGTCCATGCCGGAGTGTACTTTATTCCGTTTCCGATTACGCTGCACGCTCCCCGCAACCGCCCTTGTCCGCCTTCTCTCTTACTTTCTTCCTCCCCTTCGACCTCCGGGGCTTCCCCCGGTTCAGCCGCCCCCCCCCCCTTCCGCCCTCCTCCACCCAGACTCCTCTGTGTCCGGCGAGGAGCCTGAAGGGCCTGTGTCATGCTGGGGGCCAGCCCCTTTAGGGCTCTGTCCAATTTCCTCTTCCTCCCCACTGTTTCCTCCCACGCCCCTTCAGCTCCTTCCTCCATCAGTTGCTACCTCTCGCCCTCCTCGCCCATTGCCTCTGCCCAGTCCCCCACGGGGGTTCCCGAGTCATCTCCCCCGTCTTCGCTCCCCGCCGCCCCCCGCTCCCAGTCCAGTGGTGGTGTTGCTTCCCTCCCCACAGGTCCCCCTCCCTTACCCCCCCCCCCCCCCTGGGGGTCGTGGTTCCGCCGCCTCTCTTTCCTCCTCCCCACTAAGCTCCCGGCCCGATCCCCGTCCGGCCGCCTCCTCCACCACCTCCCCTACCTGTCCACTCCGATACGCCTGCACCCTGTTGGCATATGATTCCGGGCAGGACCTATACAGGTGTCCTCTGCTACCGCAGAGGTTGCATTGGACCGGCTCCCCGCACTCCTCCACCGTGTAATCCGGCGCCTTGCACCTGTAACAGATCCGTGCCTCGCATGCTGCCGCCAGGTGCCCCCTTCCCCCACACCTCCTACACAGTTTAGGCTGGCCCGCGTATACCACGTACCCCCGGTTTTCCCCAATGTTTAAGGCGCTCGGGATATGCTTCAGAGCCCCCCCTCCCCTCCGTCTTCAGGCGCACCTTCCATTGCCTGGCCCCCGTCCATATCCCCGCCGAGTCATGCACCCTGCTGCAGTTGGATAACAGCACGCAGTGCCGTCTCAACCACACTTCCACGTCCTGGTCATGCAGTTCCTCGTTGTACAGAAAGAGGGTCACAACCTTCGTTTCCAGGTCCGACAGCAGCCGCGTCCTCATGGATGCCAGGGGCTTCTCCCCCGCCCTCTCCTCGAAGCGAGTGAGGAAATCTGCAGCAGGAGGTTCGAATTAAAGCTCACGTCAAAAGCTCTCTGCCCCGGCAGAGCAATCAAGCAGTAAAGATCCGCCACCTCCACCCGCAGCATCCTGAGCATCACCGACCTCACAAAGGTCGTTCTATCTAGTGTCACCCCCTCCTCTACGTCGTCCTTGAATTCCACCCTGACACAGTTGAGCCTACTGGCGTGCGTTGGTGTCAAGCCCGCCCCGGCTCCACTGCGCCAC